CATCATCACTCACACTCATAATCAATGCATAGAATAATGATGAAAATGATGATGATGAGGGTGATGGTAAAAATTATGATGATGATAAAAATGACAATGATGATGAGAGTGATGGTAAAAATTATGATGATGATAAAAATGACGATGATGATGAGAGTGATGGTAAAAATTATGATGAGAATAAAAATGACGATGATGATGGCCACGTGTAATTTCCCAGAATCCAGTTATGTTTTTTCCTTCTGTGTGTACTCTCCATTGGGCAGTTAGCAGGTTGTGTTGTTAAAAAAGTTAAATTTGAGAGGATCCACTTCATTGTACCGAATTTTATCCCATATGGCTCGGTCCCACTCTGCAGAGCGGCTAGCCACCTGCCGAGAGCATCGCACAAAGCATGAACTACGTAGCTCCGGCAACGATCCCCAGGTATCTCCGTAAAAATTGCACTCGCGAACTGAATGCTGCAACCAAGAAATGAACCCATGACCTTCGGAGGCAAAAGGCTTGACCACGTCACTATGGAGACCCCCAAGTTGTGTTGTGTTTACAGCTAAGCTATGACATTTGCACCCTTCGGCCAAACACATCTCATTTCAACAAATCCACAATTAGTTGACCTTTTACTACATGCCAGGTATGGGGTGGCGAGTCTATTCTTGTGTTCCCATCAAGACAGGCCAGGTAAGGGGTAGCGAGTCTATTCTTGTGTTCCCATCAAGACAGGCCAGGAATGGGGTAGCGAGTCTATTTTTGTGTTCCCATCAAGACAGGCCAGGAATGGGGTAGCGAGTCTATTCTTGTGTTCCTGTCAGGCCAGATCCTGGAACCCACAGGGAAGAATCTATCTGATTAGTCTTGTGTTGAGCCCAGGTCGACCTGGTTGGGATCATAGGCAAACATTCTTCTAGTGAGATTCAAACCCATATGCATTCAACCCCAGGGTTCTCAGACATCCTAGTGTAGGTGATACATCTATGTCTGCCAAATTACTGGTATTATCTCCGGAATAATTAGCTTTAGAGCCAGGAAAATAGAGGCAGTCTTCAACAAAGCATATGAAGAACAAAATCAATACAAGGAAATAGAGGCAGTCTTCAACAAAGCATATGAAGAACAAAATCAATACAAGGAAAGACAAACAAGTATACCCACACCATCAAATAAAACAACTTTCAAACTTATAACCATGTCTTATCCAAGAACAAAGAATCCCTAACTACTGGCAACTTTAACAGAAACCAAACTTATAACCATGTCTTATCCAAGAACAAAGAATCCCTAACTACTGGCAACTTTAACAGAAACCAAACTTATAACCATGTCATATCCAAGAACAAAGAATCCCTAACTACTGGCAACTTTAACAGAAACCAAACTTATAACCATGTCATATCCAAGAACAAAGAATCCCTAACTACTGGCAACTTTAACAGAAACCAAACTTATAACCATGTCATATCCAAGAACAAAGAAATCCCTAACTACTGGCAACTTTAACAGAAACCAAACTTATAAATTTGTCAATATCCAAGAACAAGAATCCAACTACTGGCAACTTTAACAGAAACCCAAACTTATAGGGTTATCCAAGAACAAATAACTTAACTACTGGCAACTTTAAGAAGATCAGTGGAAAAACCATGTCATATCCAAGACCAAAGAATCCCTAACTACTGGCAACTTTAACAGCTGAACCAAACTTATAACCATGGTCATATCCAAGAACAAAGAAGTCCCTTCTACAGGCAACCACAGAAACCAAACTTATAACCCTCATATTCAAGCCACAAGAATCCCTAACTTATGGCAGGGCACAGAAACCAAACTTATAACCATGTCAATCCAAGAACAAAGAAATCCCTGGTTACTCACTGGCAACTTTAACAGAAACCAAACTTATAACCATGTCATATCCAAGAACAAAGAATCCCTAACTACTGGCAACTTTCTACAGAAACCAAAACTTATAACCATGTCATATCCAAGAACTCCTATGGACATACTGACTTTTAGGGAAACACTAACTACTGGCAACTTTTACAGAAACCAAACTTATAACCATGTCATATCCAAGAACAAAGAAATCCCTAACTACTGGCAACTTTAACAGAAACCAAACTTATAACCATGTCGTATCCAAGAACAAAGAATCCCTAACTACTGGCAACTTTAACAGAAACCAAATGTTAGGGGCCATGTCATATGTTAGAAAAAGAATCCCTAACTAGGGGGCAGTGGGTTTAACAGAAACCAAAACTGTAGGTCTATGTCATATCCACAAAGAATCCCTTACTGGCAACTTTAACAGTGGGTCTATGTTATGGCAATAGGTCTATGTTAGAACAAAGAATGGGTCTATGTTAGGGGGCAGTGGGTCTATGTTAACAGTGGGTCTATGTCAAGGGGGCTGTGGGTCTATGTCTCGGGGGGCGGTGGGTCTATGTTAGGGTTTGTCAGGTCTATGTTAGTTAGGCAGTGGGAAAATGTTGGGGGCAGTGTGGGTCTATGTCAGGGGGCAGTGGGTCTATGTCAGGGGGCTGTAGGTCTATGTTAGGGGGCTGTAGGTCTATGTTAGTAGGCAGTGGGTCTCCTTAGGGGGCTGTAGGTCTATGTTAGTAGCAGGCAGTGGGTCTATGTCAGACAGGCCCATTTGGCAGGGCACATGATGTGGGCAGTTGGGTCTATGTTAGGACTTTGGTGGGTCTATGTCAGGGGGCAGTGGGTCTATGTTAGTAGGCAGTGGGTCTATGTTAGTAGGCAGTGGGTCTATGTCAGGGGGCAATGGGTCTATGTCAGGGGGCAGTGGGTCTATGTTAGTAGGCAGTGGGTCTATGTCAGGGGGCAGTGGGTCTATGTTAGTAGGCAGTGGGTCTATGTCAGGGGGCAGTGGGTCTATGTTAGTAGGCAGTGGGTCTATGTCAGGGGGCAGTGGGTCTATGTTAGTAGGCAGTGGGTCTATGTTAGAAGGCAGTGGGTCTATGTTAGTGGGCAGTGGGTCTATGTCAGGGGGCAGTGGGTCTATGTTAGTAGGCAGTGGGTCTATGTTAGTAGGCAGTGGGTCTATGTTAGTAGGCAGTGAGTCTATGTTAGGGGGCAGTGGGTCTATGTCAGGGGGCAGTGGGTCTATGTTAGGGGGCTGTAGGTCTATGTTAGTAGGCAGTGGGTCTATGTCAGGGGCAGTGGGTCTATGTCAGGGGGCAGTGGGTCTATGTTAGGGGGCAGTGGGTCTATGTTAGGGGGCAGTGGGTCTATGTTAGGGGGCTGTAGATCTATGTCAGGGGCAGTGGGTCTATGTTAGGGGGCTGTGGGTCTATGTTAGGGGGCAATAGGTCTATGTTAGGGGGCGGTGGCTCTATGTTAGTGGGCAGTGGGTCTATGTCAGGGGGCTGTGGGTCTATGTTAGGGGGGTGGTGGGTCTATGTTAGGGGGCTGTAGGTCTATGTTAGTAGGCAGTGGGTCTATGTTAGGGGGCTGTGGGTCTATGTCAGGGGGCAGTGGGTCTATGTCAGGGGGCTGTAGTTCTATGTTAGGGGGCTGTAGGTCTATGTTAGTAGGCAGTGGGTCTATGTCAGGGGGCAGTGGGTCTATGTTAGGGGGCAGTGGGTCTATGTCAGGGGGCAGTGGGTCTATGTTAGGGGGCTGTAGGTCTATGTTAAGGGGCTGTGGTTCTATGTTAGGGGGATGGTGGATCTATGTTAGGGGGGGGTGGTGGGTCTATGTTAGGGGGGCGGTGGGTCTATGTTAGGGGGCGATGGGTCTAAGTTAGGGGGCAGTGGGTCTATGTTAGGGGGCAATAGGTCTATGTTAGGGGGCAGTGGGTCTATGTTAGGGGGCAGTGGGTCTGTGTTTGGGGGCAGTAGGTCTGTGTTAGGGGGCTGAAGGTCTGTTAGGGGGCTGTGGGTCTATGTCAGGGGGCAGTGGGTCTATGTTAGGGTGCTGTGGGTCTATGTCTGGGGGCAGTGGGTCTATGTCAGGGGGCTGTAGGTCTATGTTAGGGGGCTGTAGGTCTATGTCAGGGGCAGTGGGTCTATGTTATGGGGCAGTGGGTCTATGTTAGGGGGCAGTGGGTCTATGTTAGGGGGCAGTGGGTCTATGTTAGGGAGCGGTGGGTCTTTGTTAGGGGGCAGTGGGTCTATGTTAGGGGGCAGTGGGTCTATGTTAGGGGGCGGTGGGTCTATGTTAGGGGGTGGTGGGTCTATGTTAGGGGGTGGTGGGTCTATGTTAGAGGGCGGTGGGTCTATGTTAGGGGACGGTGGGTCTATGTTAGGGGGGTGGGTCTATGTTAGGGGGTGGTGGGTCTATGTTAGGGGGCTGGGGTCTATGTTAGGGGGCTGTGGGTCTACTCCACAAAGGGGAATAGTTCTATCTGATTGTCTAGTTAATCTGTTCCCACATGGGGAATAGTTCTATCTGATTGTCTAGTTATTCTGTTCCCACATGGGGAATAGTTCTATCTGATTGTCTAGTTAATCTGTTCCCACATGGGGAATAGTTCTATCTGATTGTCTAGTTAATCTGTTCCCACATGGGGAATAGTTCTATCTGAATGTCTAGTTAATCTGTTCCCACATGCCTAATAATCTGTTCCCACATGGGGAATAGTTCTGTCTGATTGTCTAGTTAATCTGTTCCCATGTGCGGAATAGTTCAATCGGATTGTCTAGTTAATCTGTTTGCTAGTATCAACATTCATTTATCACGCAACCAGTGATGATGACAGAATATTGTTTATATGTTTACGTTGTTTATCAACTCAACCAGGCAGATCAAATTAAATAATAAAGCAAATGAAAAACTGTGCTGTATAAACTTTAAATTAAAGAAAGTGTTTCAAAAACAGTAAAACAAATATTCTAAACCACAAAACCACAGAAACTAATAGCAAGTTTTCTAGGCAATCATGGCCAAAATGATTAAATTTCTGAGGTTGTTCACGTTCAAACTGGCAACAAATAAGGGAAGAGGAGAGCACTAACATGTGAAATGTTGGAGGTACTCACCACAAGATTATCTGGCAATTGGAGCTTTGTGAAGATGAAGAGTCTGTCATCATAAACAGTTCAAACACTGCCACAGCAAACACACATGATCATCTATGGTTTAACTACCTATCTTACAGGCTACTGACTCAATTCCTGCAGGACAGCAGAACTGGGTTTTATAGTGAATCACAGAAATATGTAGACAGTTTCTGTTAGACAACAGCCTCATCTTACTTCTTCTTCTGCTTCTTCTCTAGTCCTGTTCTGCCTTTCAGCTTCATGTTTTGAAGAGGCATTGGGTGCGTGTCTTGGTATGTGCTGCGTAAAAGCTGGTATTTATGGCCTCAGATATTAAATCTATCCATCAGTGGCTTGGTTGTCTTTTAGACTGCTTCCATTATGTCTGTGATAGGGTTGTCTGTGGTAGGGTTGTCTGTGGTACACTGGTAGTTATCTTGGCCATCTGCTTCCCTTCCAATGTAAAGTCTGTGTATTCCCATCATAATCATCAAACAGGAGGTCTTTTGCAGAACATTGCTCTCATCAATGTACACCAGCAGAACATTGATCTCCTCAATGTACACCAGCAGAACCCTGGTCTCATCAATGTACACCAGCAGAACATTGCTCTCATCAATGTACACCAGCAGAACATTGCTCTCCTCAATGTACACCAGCAGAACATTACTCTCATCAATGTACACCAGCAGAACACTGCTCTCATCAATGTACACCAGCAGAACACTGCTCTCATCAATGTACACCAGCAGAACATTGCTCTCATCAATGTACACCAGCAGAACACTGCTCTCATCAATGTACACCAGCAGAACACTGCTCTCATCAATGTACACCAGCAGAACATTACTCTCATCAATGTACACCAGCAGAACATTGCTCTCATCAATGTACACCAGCAGAACATTGCTCTCATCAATGTACACCAGCAGAACATTGCTCTCATCAATGTACACCAGCAGAACCCTGGTCTCATCAATGTACACCAGCAGAACACTGCTCTCATCAATGTACACCAGCAGAACATTGCTCTCATCAATGTACACCAGCAGAACATTGCTCTCCTCAATGTACACCAGCAGAACATTGCTCTCATCAATGTACACCAGCAGAACACTGCTCTCATCAATGTACACCAGCAGAACATTGCTCTCATCAATGTACACCAGCAGAACATTACTCTCATCAATGTACACCAGCAGAACATTGCTCTCATCAATGTACACCAGCAGAACATTGCTCTCCTCAATGTACACCAGCAGAACACTGCTCTCATCAATGTACACCAGCAGAACACTGCTCTCATCAATGTACACCAGCAGAACATTGCTCTCATCAATGTACACCAGCAGAACATTGCTCTCCTCAATGTACACCAGCAGAACACTGCTCTCACCAATGTACATCAGCAGAACATTTCTCTCATCAATGTACACCAGCAGAACACTGCTCTCATCAATGTACACCAGCAGAACATTGCTCTCATCAATGTACACCAGCAGAACATTGCTCTCATCAATGTACACCAGCAGAACACTGCTCTCCTCAATGTACACCAGCAGAACATTGTTCTCATCAATGTACACCAGCAGAACATTGCTCTCCTCAATGTACACCAGCAGAACATTGCTCTCATCAATGTACACCAGCAGAACATTGCTCTCATCAATGTACACCAGCAGAACATTGCTCTCATCAATGTACACCAGCAGAACATTGCTCTCATCAATGTACACCAGCAGAACATTGCTCTCATCAATGTACACCAGCAGAACATTGCTCTCATCAATGTACACCAGCAGAACACTGCTCTCATCAATGTACACCAGCAGAACATTGCTCTCATCAATGTACACCAGCAGAACACTGCTCTCCTCAATGTACACCAGCAGAACCCTGGTCTCATCAATGTACACCAGCAGAACACTGGTCTCATCAATGTACACCAGCAGAACACAGCTCTCATCAATGTACACCAGCAGAACACTGCTCTCCTCAATGTACACCAGCAGAACACTGCTCTCCTCAATGTACACCAGCAGAACACTGCTCTCCTCAATGTACACCAGCAGAACACTGTTCTCATGAATGTACACCAGCAGAACATTGCTCTCATCAATGTACACCAGCAGAACACTGTTCTCATGAATGTACACCAGCAGAACATTGCTCTCATCAATGTACACCAGCAGAACATTGCTCTCATCAATGTACACCAGCAGAACACTGTTCTCATCAATGTACACCAGCAGAACACTGCTCTCCTCAATGTACACCAGCAGAACACTGCTCTTAGCCATGTACACCAGCAGCAACACTGCTCTTAGCCATGTACACCAGCAGAACACTGCTCTTAGCCATGTACACCAGCAGAACACTGCTCTTAGCCATGTACACCAGTCCCTAGCCAACTTTCTGCATCATGAAACTGCATGGCTAGGATGCCCATGATCCGTGTAGTTTTTGTCTGCATCACTGTGCTGGTGGACTTTTGCTACAACCATACCATCCACTGCCGTGTTTCCAAACCAGAACGGAGTTTCACATCGGCGAATTGTTCAGCTTTCTAGAAATGACCCTGTCTATGAGCCAGACCCTCTCTATGTTCAGATCCAGCTCATCTTCCTTGTCTGGCTCCATAAAACTCTAACATTCAACCTGTAAAATTTCAGCTCAAGAGCCCTCATTTGTCTTTTCTGTGACAGAGTGCACAATTCACATCTATATGTATGTTGTCACAGGAGGGAAGTCCCCTGTAAGTCTTTAAATGTTGCTGCACCACAGACACTCCATACTGTTTATTCTCCGCACTGCTGCGATAAGTCTCCTTCTAATTTCTAGTGAGCAATGTCCGCTGTCGTTAAATACTGAGTCAAGGTATTCACAGTCTGCGCCAGATTTTTGAGTCAGTCTCATCAACACAGCCAATGACCTCACTGTCTATGCTAAATACTAGATGTGCCATTATCCAATGAGAAATATAAATGTATATTAAACTGTGCAGAGAATCAAATATAATATTATAGCTACAAATTGTGTCAAGAACAAGCAAACAAAAGCACACAAACCCACAGAGCTGAAAGTTGAACGTATCAAATGTGCAGGCAGCATAGGTTATTATATCAAAATGCACACTTTAACCCTTTTAGTCAGTTAGCAAAACAAATAAGTGGGACACATAATTTTTGAATTCTGGACTTTCCCCCAAAAATATTCCTTTAAAAAAAGTATAATTTTACACAAACATTTCTAACCATTCCATTTTCGGATATAAATACAAATTATGCACTGATGAAATGGCTCAATGAAAAAAAAAACTAATGCAAAAGGGAATTAACTAGGTTACATCTTCCTGAGGTTAAATAAACTAAATATCAGGACTCATTTTTAGACTGTGATCCAGCAGCCGGAGACGTTTGTGACTAATGGGAAATCATGACCTCGTCATTTCTATCAATAAAACCACTTTATGAGAAGAAAACACCCACAGATGCTATGTTTAGTAAGTACAGCCACTGATAGACCTATTCAACAATTGTGCATGTACAAAGAGAATCAATGCTCTCAGTGAGCAGTCTCATATACAAGTCACGACAGTTGTCCTGGGTAAGCAGCATTTATGGGGGCATGGTATATATGGAAAGAGTCAGTTCAAGTCATTAGAGGATTCTTTGCACATGACTGCTGCATCAGGCATTTGCTGACAGACCCTTACTGTTAAGGACCAGTCGGTACTAAATGAATAATGTGCTCAACATACCAGCTATCTTTCCTTCCCAGGCGATTTCCTGCTTGCCATTTCTTGACTGTGTCGCTACAAGGATTTTCCATTGAAGCCTTACATACTACAAGGATTTTCCATTAAAGCCTTACATACTACAAGGATTTTCAATTAAAGCCTTACATACAAGGATTTTCAATTAAAGCCTTACATTCTACAAGGATTTTCAATTAAAGCCTTACATTCTACAAGGATTTTCAATTAAAGCCTTACATTCTACAAGAATTTTCAATTAAAGCCTTGCATACAAGGACTGTCAATTAAAGCCTTATATTCTACAAGGATTTTCCATTAAAGCCTTAAATACTACAAGGATTTTCAATTAAAGAGTTACATTCTACAAGGATTTTCAATTAAAGCCTTACATACAAGGATTTTCAATTAAAGCCTTACATACAAGGATTTTCAATTAAAGCCTTACATTCTACAAGGATTTTCAATTAAAGCCTTACATAAAGAAGGATTTTCTAAACATACAAGGATTTTTTTTTCAATTAAAGCCTTACATACAAGGATTTTCAATTAAAGCCTTACATTCTACAAGGATTTTCAATTAAAGCCTTACATTCTACAAGGATTTTCAATTAAAGCCTTACATACAAGGATTGTCAATTAAAGCCTTACATTCTACAAGGATTTTCAATTAAAGCCTTACATACTACAAGGATTTTCAAGCCTTACATAAAGAGTTACATTCTACAAGGATTTTCCATTAAAGCCTTACATACTACAAGGATTTTCCATTAAAGCCTTAAATACTACAAGGATTTTCCATTAAAGCCTTAAATACTACAAGGATTTTCAATTAAAGCCTTACATACAAGGACTGTCAATTAAAGCCTTACACACCAGGATTTTCAATGAACTTTGCTTGTCCAGATGAGTCATCCATTTATCTCTACCAGGATTCTAGCTAAATATTCTCATCAGTTCCAGCCTACCAAATATTCTCAAATCTTTGCAGACTTAAATTCAGGTCTACGACCACATCAACATTATACATCTGCAGTTATACAAAGTACAAGTGGGACATAGATACCATTCGTGATATGAGTAAAGAAAGCAGGAAAGAATCACACACAAATGCACAAAACGGATGTACACACAGACAGGGCAACATTGGCTGTAGGAAACACTAAGCCGTGTCAATCAAGGTATATGCCAACAGACAGACAACAACTAGATCAGTCCAAGCACAACAATTCCAGTTAATAAACAACACAGCCATCGCATCTTCGCCACTGATCTTTTGTTACCAATTCACTAACCAAATCTGCACAAGGATTGCATTGTTAGCAATGTGAAACTAACAATGGCACAAATGTGGTGCCATAATAAAACATAGATATTGAAAATTTGACCAAATGGTCTGCCATGAAGAGTGATCAGATAACAAAAGTCACTGAAAATAGTTCAATGTTGAACATAGACACAAGCACAGAGACAACATTGACATCCAGTCAAGAGGAATGTTGGGGATACTTACAGACTTGGCAAAACTGAAGAAGCTTTTGGTTTCCCCCGTGACGATGTTTGATGAGCCTGGGTGGGTGAGAATAAATACAGTTAGGCAACAACTGGTTAGGGGATGTCCAAAATGCATTGTTGCTATTTATGTTGTTGCTGATATTATTGTTAATTATGTTGTTGCTGATCTTGTTGCTATTTATGTTGTTGCTGATCTTGTTGCTATTTATGTTGTTGCTGATCTTGTTGCTATTTATGTTGTTGCTGATATTATTGTTAATTATGTTGTTGCTGATCTTGTTGCTATTTATGTTGTTGCTGATATTATTGTTAATTATGTTGTTGCTGATCTTGTTGCTATTTATGTTGTTGCTGATATTATTGTTAATTATATTGTTGCTGATCTTGTTGCTATTTATGTTGTTGCTGATATTATTGTTAATTATATTGTTGCTGATCTTGTTGCTATTTATGTTGTTGCTGATATTATTGTTAATTATGTTATTGCTAATGGTGCTGTTGTTGTCAATTATGTTGTTGCTGATATTATTGTTAATTATGTTGTTGCTGATCTTGTTGCTATTTATGTTGTTGCTGATATTATTGTTAATTATGTTATTGCTAATGGTGCTGTTGTTGTTTATTATGTTGTTGCTGATATTATTGTAAATTATGTTGTTGCTGATCTTGTTGCTATTTATGTTGTTGCTGATATTATTGTTAATTATGTTATTGCTAATGGTGCTGTTGTTGTTAATTATGTTGTTGCTAATGTTGCTGTTGTTGTTGCTGTTGCTACGGTTGATGATGATGAGATGAGGTGGATAATGTTGCTTATGTTGCTGTTATTGCTAACTATGATTTTGTTATTGTTTTTGATGACAGTAATTAATTATATTGTTGTGGTTGCTGTTACTGTTTACGATGTTAATGACTGTGTTGCTACCATCAATGTTGTTATTAGTAATAACGGTGTTATGGTGTTGCTGCGAATGTCGATAATGGTGATGGTGTGAAAGACAATGATGTTAATTACGTTGTTTCCTAATGTTGCTGCTGGTATTACTTATGCTGTTGTTGTTGTGGTTGATGTTACTGTTGATGTTTCTTGTTTTGCTCTTACTGCCAATTGTGTTGTTATAAGTCATGGTGTTGTTGATGCTAATACTGTTGACGATTATGGCGTCAATCTTACTGTCTACAATAAATAATAACAAAAATGAACACATGTTCTCAACACACCATTTGTATTTATCAGTAATCCCCCATGTGGGTTCCGGGGCCCTGTTATTGGGAAAACAAGAATAGACCCACTGCCTACCCAAAAGCCTGTCATAAGAGTCGACTAATTGGGAGCTTCCTTTAAAGTCAGAGTGCATCTGCCTGAGAGGCACGTAACCAGCAGTCTGCATAAAAATGAGTCAGATCTGTAAAACGGATGCAGACGCAACACTCAGGTTCTGGAAAAGGACTGGAGTCCAGAAGTGGATGAACAACCAGAACTTTCCACCAGAGTTTACAGCTGGTAAACGCGAAGAAAAAGAAGAATTTACCAGTAAAGAAAACACAAACAGACATTAATTAAACCGCTAACGTTGCTGTTACTGTTTTTGATGATGATGATTTTGTTGTTAATGCCAATGTTGTTGTTATTAATGATGGTGTTATTATGTTATTGCAAATGATGATGATAACATAGTTAATTATGTTGTTGCTTATGTTGCTGTATGGTCTCAATACACCATTAACATTTACCAGTAAAGAAAACTCAAGACATATATTATTCCACCTCTCAAGCTGATTGTGATTGTCTTTATCGACCTACTTCCCTCTTTCTCACATTCTTCACTTCAAAGCGGACAGACAATAAACAGACAGACAGACAGAGTGCAGACCCTTCTGACTATTCTCCTGCTCAACTAGTGGTGTAAGCAAGCAGACAACAGCTCTGAGATCAATAATTTTGTCAGCAACAACCTGCCTCTCCATTGATTTTACTCCCCCCCACCTCCAGCCCTGGCCATCCTAGTCATTTGTTAGACAGTTCATGTCTCCACCACCCAGTCAATAATCAATGGGAACCTAATGATTCTTCTTGCCTCTAACCTTGTTTCTTCTTCATTAATTACATTTGTCTTCTGTCTTTATGTTTTAGGGATGGATGCAGCTTTGGTGTCTACAACATGTCTTGTTGTGAGATATTGTGTGATGTCCATAAAACAATGTAATACTGTGTGAGAGATGATGTCATATAAGTCAGATAGCCAGAGACATTATGACATTTCACTGAGACAGATGAAGATATGTTGTAATAAAATCATCAAGTGGAATGCAATGAAGGAACTCGAGTGGCAGCCTCCACCTCCATTCCTATAGTAAGCACAAAACAGAACTTACCAAAAAGGATGTACTTTCCCATGGGCTTGAGTATTGCAATGCCTTTGTTTGTATCGTCGCCACAGAGACAGTCTAAGACAATATCTACTCCATCAGAAGATTCCCTGCAGGGAAACACAAGGAGACAGAGATGACAACATTAACTACTCCACTCTGTTTTATTTATCTTACGTTATGTCATGCACTCTGTTTTATTTATCTTACGTTATGTTATGCACTCTGTTTTATTTATCTTATGTTATGTTATGGGAGTCGTGAAGGTGTAGCGACTAGACACTCGCCTGTGGATGAGAAGGTCGTTTGTTCAGGCCCTGACAAAGCCGACTTTTTTTTTTAAAGAATGACCTTGACTTCCAAGTCAACCAAGCCTTGAGTGGATACCAGGTGCAATCCTGAACAGTAGAGGTGGCCAGCGTGATGCGAACCCCATCACCCACTAAGTGCTGATCGGTCTATACAATACATATATATATATATATATACACACAATGTATAGCCCTATATGCCCAATACCCTCGACAGCGTAAAAAAAGGCTCCTTTACGTTACGTTTTCACAATCAACGTCTTTGCACATTGGGCATCCCCATGCGTGCTCAGTCTCATGATGCAGCAGCCACTCCAAGGTACCTCTACCGTTTGTTCCCATGAGGAGCTGGTTATATTTGTTTCTGTTATCATTTGACAGAGTTTTTAACTATATGAACATCTGAATCATTGTTTTCAATAGTTGTCAAGGCTGTTCCTTCACGAAGACCAGCCAAACACTTGTTGGCAGAACAAGAACTGCTCTCATTAACTGTGCAGTTTGTACTGTACATCATTCTACCATGAAGGAGGGGCAGGGGTCGACCAGCATCAAGATGGACATAGTATATAAGTGACTCCTTGAGTATGAAACTGCACGAGGGAGAGAGCTGGCGAGAGACCAAGTTTCTTTCAGGTAGACGGTGATGAGAGCAACATTTTGCAAAGACATGATGCTGCTACATGATGATGATGAGTAGCACACCTGCATCACACCACAAGGCCAGGAATCATGCTGTGTGCTTCACTGTCCTCTTGGGGACTGGGTGACTGAGGGGTCTGGTGACAGTCTGGTGAGACTGATGCAGCGGGGAGTGACAAGAGGTTCTGGCAGATGCTCAGGGCTCAGAGGAAAGGCAAGACGGACATTTAATCAGAATGCTACTGGCACAACTAGTATCGTAAATCTATGCTAGCTGCTAAAGATGGGGATGGAGTGCTTATGGGAATGCCCCAAGTGCTGTGATGTCAGTCCTTGCATCAGCTCAACTCAACTCAACTTTGTAGGTCATGAGTTTGATTCTCTGTAAGACTAACGACAGAAATCTGGGGTTGAGTGCATGTTTTTTGTGTGTGCGTGCGTGCATGCCTGTGTGCATGCGTGTGTGTGTGTGTATGTGTGTGTCAGGACTTCCTGCAAAATCTGTATTTCTTAGCCTAAACAGAGAAACCAATACACAGTAGTAGAAGAAGGAATGATGCTATCAAAACAAACATCCAAACTGTCACCTGTAAACCAGCCCGCCTCCACCCCAACCCTTCCATGTTAACCCAGCCTAAGACTGATACCCTGAAATATCCTGGAAAGTAAAGGCAGCAAGCCTTATGTTGGTCACATCCCCCACTCTTCTGCTTCTTTCTTTGCATTTACTGGATGTACACTCCAGCGCAAATTCCTGGTTGTTTGTCCACTTCTGGACTTTGGTCTTGTTCCAGAATGTGAGTTTTGCATGCACATCTGTTTCACAGATCTGGCTTAATTATATGCAGACTGTTGGTATCTCACCTCTCAGGCAGAGTACTCTGACTTCAATGGAAGCACTACTAATTAGCTGACTTTTAGGACATGCTAGATAGGAGCCAGAGGCTCTATACACTTTTTTTTTTTATAGTTTAATTTTTTGGGGCATTTACAATGGACAGAGGAAACTCTATGGGGAATAATCCAATCAAATGAAGATTGACGTGTAAAAAGTGCATACAGCAGAATATACTGCCTAACCCTAACCCTAACCCTAGCCCTAGCCCTAGCCCTAACCCTAACCCTAACCCTAGCCCTAACCCTAACCCTAACCCTAGTCCTAGCCCTAACCCTAACCCTAACCCTAACCCTAGCCCTAGCCCTAACCCTAACCCTAACCCTAACCCTAACCCTAACCCTAGCCCTAACCCTAACCCTAACCCTAACCCTAACCCTAGCCCTAACCCTAACCCTAGCCCTAACCCTAGCCCTAACCCTAACCCTAACCCTAACCCTAGCCCTAGCCCTAGCCCTAACCCTAACCCTAACCCTAACCCTAACACTAGCCAGGATATTAATATGTTGCTGTATCTAAGCTTGATGGAACAAGTCACCTTGGTTCCAGCAAACTGTCTGTGGATACCCTGAACAAGAAAATAACTTCAAAACTTGCTGTAAGACAATCTTTGAGTGTGCGAGGGGAGGGAGAAGACGAAGCACTCACTTTCGGATAGCCTGTGTGTAGTCAACACTGTGATCAAACAAGTGTGCCACGTTGCCTTTGGACTTGATGGCCTCGTGTTTGTGAGCAGATGCTGTGCCAAAGATCACCACATTGGGGATGGTGTTTGCCAGCTGCACAATGGCTTGACCCTGAAAATGTGGCACATGTTAACATCAAGTTAACAATGGCAGCAGGTTTTCAGAGACACTGGCCATGGTTGGTTTTCTGATGTGATGTTAGATACTTATGTGATGTCAGATGTGTTACGTGATGTCAGAAGGTTTTTGTGATGTAAGATGTTTTATGTGATGTCAGATGTGTTATGTGATGTCAGAAGGTTTTTGTGATGTAAGATGTTTTATGTGATGTCAGATATTTTATTTTATGTCAGCTGATTCATGGTGATGTCAGATGGTGTGTGGTGATGTTGGATGTTGTACAGTGATATCAGATGTTGCACTGATAGGTAAGATATTTTATGCTGATGTCAGACGTTGTATGGTAATGTCAAATGTTGTAATGTGATATCAAATGTTGCATCTTGAGGTCACTTGTTACATGGGTAAGTCAGAAGTTGTATGGTGAAATCAGATGTTTAACAGTGATGTCAGATAGTGTATGGTGATGTCAGATGTTGAACAGTGATGTCATATATTGTATGGTGACATCAGATGTTAACTGGTGATGTCAGATATTGTATGGTGACATCAGATGTTAAATGGTGATGTCAGATATTGTATGGTGACATCAGATGTTAAATGGTGATGTCAGATATTGTATGGTGACATCAGATGTTAAATGGTGATGTCATATATTGTATGGTGACATCAGATGTTAAATGGTGATGTCATATACTGTATGGTGACATCAGATGTTAAATAGTGATGTTGGATACTGTATGGTGATGTCAGATAAATGGTGATGTCAGATATTTTATGATGATGTCAGATATTAAACAATGATGTTAGAACATATGTCAGCTGTGATTCAGCAGGTATTGCCCCTCAAGAGATATTCCTCTGAGTCACTATGAACTAACTCTGCCATTTGTATACTTGAAAAACTTGAACAGACCGCATAAATTGTTACTTGAAATGCATTGAAATGCCTTCTTCAGCAAACCAATAAAATATGAACTCACTAATATAATGAAGATGTCCGCACTCCCACCCAAAGTGAATCAGGATGCCACGTGCCTGATACACAACAATTCTAGACTTTACTACCAAGTGTACCAGGATGCCACGTGCCTGATACACAACAATTCTAGACTTTAACTACCCAAGTTGTTACCAGGATGCCCACGTGCCCTGAACAACTTACACAACAATTCTAGACTTTACTACCAAGTGTACCAGGATGCCACGTGCCTGATACACAACAATTCTAGACTTTACTACCAAGTGTACCAGGATGCCACGTGCCTGATACACAACAATTCTAGACTTTACTACAAAGTGTAAACAGGATGCCACGTGCCTGATACACAACAATTCTAGACTTTACTACCGAGTGTACCAGGATGCCACGTCCCTGATACAACAATTCTAGATTTACTACCACGTGTAAACAGGATGCCACGTCCCTGATACAACAATTCTAGATTTACTACCAAGTGTACCAGGATGCCACGTCCCTGATACAACAATTCTAGATTTACTACCAAGTGTAAACAGGATGCCACGTCCCTGATACAACAATTCTAGATTTACTACCAAGTGTAAACAGGATGCCACGTCCCTGACACAACAATTCTAGATTTACTACCAAGTGTAAAAAAACCAGGATGCCACCCCACGGGGGTCCCCCCTGATTACCAACAAACAATTCTAGATTTACTACCAAGTGTAAACAGGATGCCACGTCCCTGACACAACAATTCTAGACTTTTCAACCAAGTATACCAGGATGTCATGTTTCTCACAACAATTCTAGACTTCCCCATCAAGTATACCATGTCATTGACAGAACATCCCTACATGAGATACTTACAACTCCTCCGCCCAGTGAGTGTGCCAAGATACTCTGACCCTCACGGACCCCAGCCAGGTCAAACATGATGATGTAGGCCACAACGAAGTTCATGAGGAGAGCAGCAGCATCATGGAAGCTCAGGTTGTCTGGGATCTTGTATACATACTTGGTGGGGATGGCTACCAGCTCTGACCAGGCCTTGTAGTCAGAGAATGCCACCACTCGGTCCCCGACCTGCAGATGACACAAAATATTATCTTGTCATTACTAATTTTATATTCCATTTATTATCTGTCTTTTAATTATGTTGCACTGTTTAGTCTCTCATTTTCTTTTTCATTTTTTTTGTAGCCGGCATGGTGGGTAATGAACAGGCAGACAGATTGGCTGGATCTGCACCAATAGGTGGTTACCTGATACATGACAAGGCAGATGTGGTCAAGGCCCTTTGGGAACAAACAACGGAATCAGTAAGGAAACAAGATTATTATGGCCTTGAGAGAATAAGGTACCTGGGTGTAACCAGAGGGTCTGGCAGGCTGACTACACTCAAAGGAAAGGCAAGACAGACATTTAACCAGATTGTGACTGGTACCATCAGTATTGGAACTCTGTGCTGGCTGCTGAAGATGAGGACGGAGCATGCATGGGAATGCCCTGAGTGCTGTGATATCAATTCTGAACACCACTCAACTCAGTCCATTTCCCCACATGTTGTGTCTAATATATTGCCATTTTCTTTGGATTTAATCACAGTTAGGAAAAATATATTTAGTCACTGGACACTGCATATTTTTTGTCATGGACACATCTGATAGATTTAATCATATACAAAAATGACAGCTTTAATCATAAACATAAGTTATAGAATTACTTATAAACAAAACTCAAAATTCAATCAAAATAATAATAGATGGAGTCAATGGAAAAAATCAAGTATAATATCGACAGAAAAACTGACAAATAGTCAGTGGTTAAGAAAGAAGCAACAAATGAAAGTCAGCCGGTTGTGGGTAAAACACCAGGTGTGAAATCAATGTTAAATGGATACATGACCACAGTGGCCTCCAACCTTCTTCAGGTCAAGCCCCCTTGAGTATAGGGCAAGATCCTCACATCCCACCTTGAGTATAGGGCAAGATCCTCCCGACCCCACCTTGAGTATATGGCAAGATCCTCACATTCCACCTTGAGTATATGGCAAGAACCTCCCGACCCCACCTTGAGTATATGGCAAGATCCTCACATCCCACCTTGAGTATATGGCAAGATCCTCGCATCCCACCATGAGTATTTGGCAAGATCCTCACATCCCACCTTGAGTATATGGCAAGATCCTCACATCCCACCTTGAGTATATGGCAAGATCCTCGCATCCCACCTTAAGTATATGGCAAGATCCTCACATCCCACCTTGAGTATATGGCAAGATCCTCACACCCCCCTTGATTATATGGCAAGATCCTCGCATCTCACCTTGAGTATATGGCAAGATCCTCGCATCTCACCTTGAGTATAAAGCAAGATCCTCGTGACCCCACCTTGAGTATATGGCAAGATCCTCACACCCTGCCTTGAGTGTATGGCAAGATCCTCGCATCCCACCTTGAGTATATGGCAAGATCCTCGTGACCCTACCTTAAGTATATGGCAAGATCCTCGTGACCCCACCTTGAGAATAAGGCAAGATCCTCGCATTCCACCTTGAGTATATGGCAAGATCCTCACACCCCACCTTGAGTATATGGCAAGATCCTCGCGACCCCACCTTGAGTATATATCAAGACCCCCCCCCCCCCCCATTCTACCCCCCCCCCCCCAACCCCCGATAGTTCTGACGTTTGGATAGAAGGTGCTCTTAACCGACAGATGCCTGTGTCATATCTATTGGACGTTTAACTGCAGATACGCAAACAACTTTTGAACATCTTCCTTGCCTTTATATTTCATAAATAGTTTTTACAATATTTTATTACTGTATTTATAATTAAACTGAAAAAAAAAAAATAATATAACCGATTACTATAAATACAAAAGCACCCAATTTCAAAATTGCTTGATCCTCCTCCCCCCTCACCCCCCCCCCCCCCCTCACCCCACTATTTTTTTCCTATCCCCTCTCCGTCCCCCAGGTTGGAGACCAGTGCATTAGAATGATTGCTTTGAAGGCTCAAGCTGAAGCTAATGTGGGATACTGGCCAGGCTGAAAGAAAGAAAGAAAGAAAGAAAGAAAGAAGAAAGAAAGAAAGAAGAAAGAAAGAAAGAAAGAAAGAAAGAAAAGAAAAAAGAAAAAGAAAAGAAAGAAGAAAAGAAAGAAAGAAAGAAAAAGAACTAAGAAGAAAGAAAAGAAAAGAAAGAAAGAAAAGAAAGAAAGAAAGAAAAGAAAGAAAGAACGAAAGAAAGAAAGAAAAATAAAAGAAAAGCCAGACAGACAGACAGACAGACAGACAGACAACGTGGAGAAAGACAAAAGAAAGAAATAAAGCCAGAGAAGAAGAAAGAAAGAAAGAAAAGAAAGAAAGAAAGAAAACAGAAAGAAAGAAGGAAAGAAAGAAAGAAAGAAAGAAAAGAAAAGAAAGAAAGAAAAGAAAAGACAAGAAAGAAAGAAAAGAAAGAAAGAAAGAAAAAGCCAGACAGACAGACAGACAGACCACGTTGAGAAAGAGAAGTAGAAAAGACAAAGAAAGAAAGAACGAAAGAAAAGAAAGAAAGAAAGAAAAGAAATGAAAGAAAAAGAAATGAAGAAAAGAAAGAAAGAAAGAAAGAAAGAAAGAAAGCTTGTCCCCGCCCCCCCCCCCCCGCCCCAGGTCCCACTAGTCTAGCTACGCCACTGCCTCTGATAAAAACAAAGGGAAAACGCTGAGGTTTCAAATCTGAGAACGAAGATTGTAGGGAGTGGCTCTGATAACATTTCACATTCTCTTCTTATGACGAACTGTTTGTTGTAATCTCTCTTCCTTTTTCTCTCGTTCTCTCTATATCTCCCTAGCTCTCTCTATCTCTCTCTCTCCATATCTTGTTCTCTCCTCCTCCTCTTCTCCCTCTCTTTATCTCTATCTGTGTGTCTGAGTGTCTGTGTGTCTGTCTGTCTGTCTGTCTGTCTGTCTGTCTGTCTGTCTGTCTGTCTGTCTGTCTGTCTGTCTGTCTGTCTGTCTGTCTGTCTGTCTGTCTGTCTGTCTGTCTGTCTGTCTGTCTGTCTGTCTGTCTGTCTGTCTGTCGCTCTCTATAAGAGTGCATGTGCCATACACGCCTTTGTGTGTTCAACTGACATTAAAATGACTGACACTGCTGTATTAACATAACCTGTTGCTAGATGGGAAACAACTAGGGTGTGAGAGGATTACTTGAAAGGGCCGAGTGTCAGACAGGTCTAAGTGCTCAATTAGTGCCCTCAAAAAATAACGTTCCTTGGTTTAACTGTCTGTCTTATAGCTGTCTCTTTTTCTGGATAGTGTATCGGTCTCCTCTCTTCATTGACACCATCCCTCTATTAACTCTTTAAAGACATTTCGCCAGTATACTGGCGAATGAATTTACCCCTAATGGACTATTCGCCAGTATACTGGCGTACCACAAAGACACTCTAATTTTGTTCCGTTTGTGGGGAAAACAATTTTTTTCATGAACACGTTTTTGAACAATTGGGATTAAATCCGAAAGTCTTTTCGTTTGCGAAGTTCACTGTGGTCGGTGCATTATTGTCTGATTTTTTTTATTTTTTTTTTTAATTATTTAGATGTCATACAATTTTAAAGTAATTTTTAATTACTAAACGATAAGGAAAAAGGTCTAGAACTGTTCATACTGCTCTGTCGTTGATGAATCTCTGCCAGATGGTGACAATGGTCTTGATATTATAATTGATATCTAAGTGACAAACCTAGTGGCGATAATTTAGTTTAGGATATGAAAATTGAACAAAATATTTCAATCGGATCAATGTTTGGATCGGCTGTTTTCCCGATTTTCGGTTGTGGTGACATTTGACATGTCATACATAAATGATCATAACTTCCGAAGTATTTTAATCGTTTCAAATAAAGACTAGCTGATACACAATTGAACTAGAGAAGGCATGTCCATTCTTAGAACCGCAGAGCAGAGTTGCTGAACAAGTTTTAAAAAGTAAGGTAAACACGCAATTTTGTAGGTAAATAATCTTCATATGTGTCTAACATCCTTGAATGTTGTGTCATTTTAATAATATTTTGTTGTGATACTAACACTTAGATAGTTTAGATTTCTTCTGCACTCATTTATCTTTAATGTGATATATTATATGTTCCAATGCAGCCAATACTTTTTCTTCAGGAAGGTTTCAGCTTTGTCGTGTTGTAGTTTTTAAACAAGAATTCCGCTCAAAATTAACACTGTCCGAACCCACGAAAAAAAAATGTGGTCCTGAAAAAGTTAGTGACCCTGTCAGTAACAGAACACATAATATGTCTCGCCTTATTGTCCGTCAACATGCCTTCTTCCACCACTCTTTGTTTATAACTCATTCAACTGCCATCTCTCTATACACAACCTTTAAAGATGTCATCTTTCTGCCTCAATCTCTTTTTTCACTGTTATTGTCACTCTATCCGTGTTTTATTGAAGCTAGATTCGTTTCCCCCATCGTTCTCTTTCTATTGCTATCTATTTGTCTACATCATTCTGTATTCGTTGCCTGTTTTCTGTCACCCCCCCCTCTCTCTCTCTCTCTCTCTCTCTCTCCTCTCTCTCTCTCTCTCTCTCTCTCTCTCTCTCTCTCTCTCTCTCTCTCTCTCTCTATCTATCATTTTCCCTGTAACATATTTTCTCGATCTTACTACGCCATCTTTCGCCCATCTCTCTCTTTCATCCTTCTCTTAATGTGTCCCTGTATCTCTCTGTAATTATACATCTTTTACTTTGTATCATGCTATGTATACTCTCCCCCCCCCCTCCCCTTCCGACTCGCCCACACCGTGGTTATTTCGCCCACACCGTCGTAATGATCTCTGCCGGCGGGGACAGAGAGAACGAGAGACGGGCAGGCACGCCGCCACCAAGTTAATATTGCGTGGGGGTGGGGCTCTCAACCACTCCCTTAAATTTGGTGCATATGTAAACAAAGTTCCCATTTCACCCCCCCCCCCCCCTTCCCCCCACGTTCCGGCGCTTATGGTCCTTCGTATAATAAGCCATAGAAATGAAAATAAAGAAACTGGACAAGTGGGAAAACAGGCGATGTTGTGGACTGTACAGTG